ACCTTTCTCGAAATCCGAAAGCAAGCTTCCTCTTCCCATCGACTGAAAACGAAAAACATTACATAATCGAAGCAATTTCGTTGCGTTGAACTAAAAAACGTCACGAAGATATCAAATGGCTGCATCATTTTGCGACGTTGGAAAAGTACACTTTATTGAAAAATTGACCAGAAAAAATGTTTGTGTTTTCGAGCTGGAATTTGGTGATAATGTGCGAATTGCAATTCGAATTTGACACATTTTTCACTTCGGCAGTTTTTCAGAAACATCATATCCTGTGAGTTTTTGGGAAAATTAGAGGTGGCTGTATCATTTTGCGACGCACTGTATAATGATATTTAATGAGCTCAGAGTCATCAAACCCCATAAAGTCTTCAAATGACGTTGAGTGGAGTGTACAAAGCCCGTGCCAAAAGTACGTAAAAGTAAAGTGATGATCAATCCTGAGAATAGGTGCTCTAGACAGAAAAAGTCTTGCAGTCCTGGCGCTGAATTCACATGAGCTCTCTGCAAATACATATAAGGAATCTCTTAATTTTCTTGAGGAAAGATTTGCAGTCCTTGCATCGCCACGCGATATTTGATTCAATTCCCAAAGAAAGTGGAAGAAGCAGAAATCTAAATCCACTTTTATATACAAAAGGCCCTGGAATATGACCCGCTTATTCACGGCTTTGCTCTTTTCACACTCAGAGCCTGACGTGAAGAGGATCTGACGCTTTGATATGATGTAAGATACTGTGATTCATACCGGCCTGTTACATAATTGACCCATTCACGGATTCAATCCCTTCGGAAGTACAGTGTTCATACTCCGAGGAACTTGAAAGGATGGGGAAAAGTATAACTCTAAATGTATTGGTCGGTGATTGCTAACTCATTGGTGTCGATTAGAACTACTCTATACGGAGCTAATAGAACTACTATCCACCTCCGAGTAGAAAAGGAGAAGGAGGAAGAGCAGTCGTTGTCAAGACCATCAAACGTTAACACAAAGTAGAAGAGCCCTGCGATCAAATTGGTGATGAAATAATGGCTGATACACTCGGTATTTTTCTTTTAGCCCATTTCCAGGGTCCCGGAAGAAGCATGACTTTATGATATTGGGTTCCTGCAAATTATTTGGAGAGTTCAATCTTTCGAAAATAAATTCCCTCTTCGTCATCTGCCCGATAAGTATCCTGCTATCTTATCTGTTTGTGAGTGTTTATAGCATCTTTATATTTTTACAGAATGCGTAACATGCATGAGTTCAACAGCGCAGTGTTCAACACAATTCTTCCAAAAAAATTGATTGTGTGCCCTAGAATAGAAAACCTGTATTTCAAAACACTCCCATTCCAAATTTTATCAGAGAACCACGACACTTCAGTACACAAAATCTGAACGGAACTTCCTGCATATGCACTTATCACGAGTATCAGAGCTTGATGTTCTGGGAACTTCCTGCATATGCACTTATCACGAGTATCAGAGCTTGATGTTCTGGTCACTGATTCTGGCTGTTGACGTAACTGTCGATACCCTGGTGCTGGAGGACACTTTTGTCCGGCGTAGAAACGTCTCTTTGATCCAAACATTGTAAGGACGAATGAAAACAAATGAGGTGAGAGGACTCAACATTGGAATGAAACTAACTAGCATGAAACAGGAATATTCAAGAAGAGGATGATGACAAATATTCAACTGTTCAATGGCGTACACGATGACGGCTAGTAGAAAGAAAATGGGTAAGCAGGCTTGGATCGTGAGCGCCTAAACCGAAACGTTTCACGCAACATAAAACTTTTCGCAGTAATCACACATTATAACCATGAAAAGAGGAGCAAAACAAAATAGAATGGAAGAAATGAGCATGAGCTTCCTTCCAGAAATCGAAAAATTCAATTTGATTGATAACATGCTCTACCACTTCCGAAAAGGGAACCGAAGCTAATTTCGATCACATGTTTCCTATACCAGCTGCCTATGCACGCTAACACGCATTATATTTCTACGAGCGTTGTTCTACGATGGAACCATTCAGCGGAGTGTTGAATTATCAGAATAAGATAGTTCGCTCTAGATTCAAATGCTGGCCGCGTTGAGTAAATCCCTTTCGATATATTAGGTTGTTCGGAAAGAGATGCGCGTTTGAGCCTAAAAATTTTTCCAATGTAAAAACGAAACTAAACAAGATCACTCCAAAAGATAATCTCCATCAGTGACTTGTTGCCAACGTTTACGCGAAGAATGGATTCCTCTCTGAATAACTCTTCCGGCTGCGACTCAAAGTAGTTGGACAGCCAGAGTTGGACTACTTCACCGTTTTTGACCTTTTCCTCGGCCAGGTAATCCTGCATCGACCGGAACAGATGGTAATTGGATGGTGCCAGGTCTGGACTGTTTGGCGAATGAGGCAGGACTTCCCAGCCCCTATTCCTTAATTTTTTCCAAAATGATTTTCGCGATAAATACCCGCAACCCGACGGTGCGACACCCATTTTCCGCACCTGCTCATCTTGCCAATTGTTAGTATACATATGTTCAGACGGTAGAGTTCGAACAGCCATGTGTCGCCAGTTCTCGAGTGGTTTGGTTCCGATTCAATGGCGGACTTTAACACTTGGTTATCGGCGACTTCCATGTTCTTCGTCCTCTAACCTTTCATACAGTTTTTGAAACGCTGGTACCAACGTCAACACCGGCTTCCTGGCAGGGCTTGTTCGCCGGGTATGTGTACGAACGTGCGTCCGAGAATGTGCGCGGCAAATTGCGCGGCGAAGTTCGTAAGGATTTGAAGGAGTTTGGCGCCTAGCATTGGGGCCCAGCTTTGAAGTTGAGTAGATTAGAAGGATCATCTGACTCTACTAAACTACTCTACTTTGAGTTTGTGCCCCGAAAATTGGCGACAGAGTCGTGCAAATCATCACGAACTTCGCCGCGCAAGTTGCCGCGCGCATCCTCGAAGGCACGTTCGTACCGTCCCCCCTTGTTCGCCAAACACCTCAAATGACGAGTTTCAGTGATCGATTTGCGTTGCTTGAAGTCGTATCACATGCAAGCTCGCAAAAGGAACTTTTGGGTAAGCAGTTTCCAAACTTTTTTCTTGAGAAAAACAAACTACAGTAGTCTTAATCAAAAATATATCACAAGATGCGCAATGAAAATATCTTTCTAAAACACAAAACTGTTTTGAAAAATCATGTCTAGTGAGAGAGAAAAAAAAATGGACAAATTCGAAGCGCATTCTTTCCCGAACAACGTGATACTTTATTTGAGCAGAGTTATTAGTGGTTTGTCATAACCCCGTCCACTTCAGCCTTCCAGACCCTCCCAACTATAGAAATTTGCTCACCCTTCTTTTAGATGCTCCTCGTCATTTTCTCCTCGTTCTAAAACGCTTTTGAACAGAGTAATGGACCTTTAATCTTATCCACTCCCAAACCTGTGCAAACACCGCTAGGCAAGGGATCAGATCACGTCCCCTCAATATCTTCCAACCACTTTTTCCCCGCATCCAAAAGTTTCTGAACAACTTACGAAGTTTGATTTTAGCCAGCCCACCTCAGTGCAAGCCCCGTCCACTTCAGGGATAAACCACATTCCTTCCGTCACCTCCACTCTTTTCCCTTCCCCTCGTTTTTGAAGAGGGTGACGAATTCTTAATTTTAGCCCCGCCTACTTCAGGATTATGGCCACATTTTTTCCGTAGCCTTTGGCCACTTTTTTCTCGTTATGTGCTTATGTGGTAAGTACCACGCACTTCATGAACGCTCCGCCCACCGCCGACTGGTTTTCTTCGTCCCATTTGTTGATCCAATCCTCATTTGCTCACTTTTCCAGGCGTCTAAGCTGTTGTGGAAACAAATGAGTAAGTCTAGCTCATGATATCGCCCCCCCCCCCCCCNTGCAAACAGACAGACAGGCAGGCGCGAGCGCTTTATATACAATAAGGGTATTGCAGTCAACAAGAATTTATGAACAGCGCCACTACGACATTTTCATGCTGCTTCGCAGATTAGTGAAGCGAAGCGTTGAGTTTTTGAGTGCCATTTTACCTGTTATGAACTCACTAATTGTGCTCTATCAGCATCAGGGCCTTGAAAGAATAACCGTTGAATATATTTTGTAAGCAGGTAAAGTAGCACGACTTTTTTATTGACTAAATGTTCACCTGAAGCAATTGTGAGTGAAGTCGTCGATTGCTCTCTGACATGACCATTCCACGGCTAAGTATCGAAATGGTAAGTTTTCTAAGCACAAGAATGGCGATGTATACAGGAGCAACGGGTAATGTTATATGGAGAACTCCAGGAAGTGACCTCCAACCCAGAGTGTTTTTGAAACCGCCAACGTATTCCGAGTGCATATCGTAACCATACTTCTTCTCAACGATTCTTTTCAACTCATCCTCGTTATCGTTGGCAAAAGAGAAGGTCATCTACAAAAGTAAGTACTCATACACAGTAACACTCTACTTAAGGAAGGCATATAATACACATATATAAATAAGTTATTGCAGTGTTCTTGAAGCTTCTAAGCTGAGAATGGCAATGAAATCTACATGCAATTTGCTTACGTTATGGACAACAACGAGCTGCAGTCACATTTCACAATTTCCCCCATTAGCATGGATAGAGTCCCGAAGTCTGTTGTCGAAGTTCTCGCGTTTTGCACGCAGGTACACCCTCATTTTTCCCAACCGTTCCTGGAGCTTGCAATCTATTTAGTTCTCCGAACTGGGATTGCGAATCGGACGTTCTCTTCTGATCACAGACTAACGGAGGAGTCAGATGAGTTAAAATCTAAATGGCCATTCATCTATGCTTAATAAGTCGGGCAGGCCTCGCTACCACTTTTGGACGATGTTGGCTCTGTGGGCTGGAATGCCGTTTTGCTACAAAGGCACATTCCGCTTGAGAAAATGGTTTCGGATAGATGCTTGAGTGCGTCTATCATTATGCTCTTTAGGTATACATCTTGGCCAATTTTCACGCAGGGGTGTAATTTTTACACGACTGGCAAAACTGACGTTTTATCATTGACCATGACTCCCTCAATAAAAAAATCGTTCTACAATCTTTATAACTTTTTTGTGAGTGATTGTATTTTCAATGCTTCTATCCAGATCGCGATCGATCGTTTTATTTGTGGATAAAATGAAATCAAAGAAATATCATACCATACAGCCAAAGCTATTGAACAAAGCACAGAAAAGTATCCTATAACACAAACTAGTGAGAAAACCTAAGTACTTGCCATTTCCCAGCCAGCAGTGTTGACTAGGACGGAGGAATCCTTACAAGAAAATTCTTCCTTTCACAACCAAGCAATGTAACACTTGGAAGACATCTTGATTATGCAAACGTTGCATTACTGTACAATTGATTGCTTGTAAGAGGAATTAAAGCTTGGGTTGATAGTTCGGCTATATTTTGCCTAGCTCGACTTCCGTTCAACCTTCAAGTTCAACCTGAACCCTCAGGATGGAACGTCCTTTTAGTAGTGTTTCCTCTCAACTGGTCTACGACTTGTTCAGCTATTATCAAGTTCTGTAGGGGAAGTTTTCGTTCCGAAAAACGCCTCACGTAACAGTCTAAAAAGTCCAATGTTGGGGATAGTCAGTAAGTCAATCAGTCTTTCCTGTCATACAACAGTTTTCACTGTCTTAATTTCGGTTCGCTGAACTCGCTGATAAGTGGCGGCACTTCTTCTCTGCACAGGCCCACGAACTTGGGGGTGGCGGTGGGGACGAAGGGAATCAAATTCTCTCGTATCGTAGCGGTAGCAAAGCAACATTACACGTTCTTTGGCTTTAATGTGGTGGATGGTATCCCATTGTTCCAGCCATTTCTCAAATATTCTCCTGTGTTTGGTATGCGATCCCCCCCCTTTGACTTCCACTCAGAGACGGAATGGGGGCCTGTGCAACGACTTTATGTGGACAGCAGATAAAGTAGTTAATGATTATCTTCCCAAACATCTATTGTTAGTTCCGGTGAGTAGAAAGCTTTGTTAGTCTACGCAAGTATCGGTCCGGGACTTAATAACCATATGCGTGACAGCATATCATTGCTACTACAGCGCCTCCGCCGTTTACCCCAAAATACTAGTCAGTTTTTACCGCGACATTCATCTTCTCTTGATTCTAAACGTTGCGAAACGAAATCTGGACCACTGAATTTGAGGGGCTATAAAATGTAAGAAACACTTACCGTAAGCAAGCCCAAAATAAACTCACCAATTGGAGGAATGACGGTATGTACATTACAAGAATACTCGCTACGATGATGCGTTTACTCGGTGGTGTCCGCTTTTGACATAAAAACGATACAAGAATGAGAATAGCAAACTCCATAGCGCATGGGCATAGCAGTGTAGCGCGAAGCTGTGCCTCAATAATCAGAGACTCTTAACATAATTTTCCTAAAACTACTCAAAATGGTCAGCATATGAACATACATAAAAAAACAGGCCTGAGTGCCAATTAGTACACACGGTCCACAAAAGACCAAGTATATGCCAACTCCACCAGAAATGATCCTGAAAGAGGCAGATCAGAATGAGTAGCCGCTGTCACGCTGCGGTACCGGTGAAGATCCTTTCAAAATAGTGGACTTAATTTGCGAATCAAGTTGTGACGATCCTTCACTTAATGCTAAAGATTTTGAGAAAGTATTAGGTGTTATAATGCTCACTCTTCCTCCGCCAACTACATCAAACCGATTCTGACCTATTTTCGAGCAGGTCCAAAATGAATCACCTTGCTTTATAAGAATTCCACTATTTCTCTTCTATAGCTTATATTATAGTTTGGGGCTATCGCATTCTACAACCAGCTGCATACCCTCTTATTTCACCCCTTCCACATACTGGAGTATATTGGCTGCCTGGTTAAATGATTAGGACAGAGGATCGGGTGACTTTCTTTCTAATCTGCACTATAACCTTTTTGATTGTTATCTCTTCAACTCTCCAAACAAGGGGGGTTCCGCCACTTCACTCCTATCATAAGTAGCGGGTCCTTGGCTCTTCACAGCTCACGCCCCTACTTATTATTAACAGTTTGACAACATCGAGTGTGTACCTTCCGGAGCTGTAAAGGTTCAGAACAAAAGGTGTTATGATTCTACGGACAAATGCATAGTACACACATCCGCATACATCGACAAATAGAAGTGTTTAAGGGTGAAATATAGTAGGTGCAGGAGTAAATGCGTACCTATACAGATGCACACGCCCACAAGCAAACACTTTTGGGTGATCAGAGATAAAAAGTTCCCCGTATATACATGAGTACATATATGGTAGAGATTATTTCTCGCTAAGTGAATACGTCTCCACAAGAGTCAACAAAGAGATATTTTTATTTTGTGTTATTCACAGTACGAAAGTATAATATTATGGAGTTTGTTGTTGTCTTGAACTCTTCAGAGGTTTTTAAATAATCTTTATTAGGCTGACGTTTCTGCGGAATCGCCTTCTTCAGAGCCTGAAAGGATCATAACTATCTGTGATTATCCGACCAAACGTCTCCACTAACCCACTAAGTTCGAGACCCCCAGGGCACGCAGGTGGTCGAAAGGAGAACCACTAACCGTAACTTTGTGGATTTTTCGAAACCACCCAACTAATAGTGGTACCAACCGACCAGTGTCAGCGGGGGTACAAACGTCTCCACTAACCCACTAAGTTCGAGACCCCCAGA